ATTTTTTTAAACGGGATTGAAAGAAGTAAAAGAAGTAAAAGAGTGGCACCGATGAACCGGAACCACGCGAGATAAAATATTTATCCGATAATTTACAAATTCTTTTTCGCACTGACCCGAAAACTAAATACAATATACAGTATACAGAATAGAATAAATGAATATAAATATAAATATATATAAATATATATATATATAGTATATTAGAATAATGGTAGGATAAATACAGTTAGCATATAATACTCATAGAAATAAGCATAATCTACTAACTAAAAGAAATGATACGTACTAGTATAATAATGTATTATAATTAAATATAGATTTAATCTTTTTCATCGACTTTACCTTTTATCGAGGGGTATATGCTAAGATGCTTATCGATGATGATGATGATTTAGATATTCAGATATTCAGTTGATAAGTTACAGATTAACCCCAGATACGGTGATATAAAATTTCATATTGACAGGGATTAAAAATAAAAAAAAAATCAAGAATGAATACAAGATAGGGTTCGATGTTTTTTTTGGTGAAACAAATCTTAAATGTTACTTTTTTTGGACAATTTAACCAAATTTAGAAAATTATTCACCGCCCCCACAATCCTCTTATTTTTAATTGTCACACTCGTTCGTTGGTTTTTGTTTGTTGGGAAAGGTTCATTCAACCTCTAACCCGCAAAGGAATAATCTAACGCATTTTACCATAATGAGTTTGGTTCAGTTTATGATAGATTCAAAACAGATATAAAAAAGATTCAACTGCTTTATTTACGGATTGATAATGCTCAAATGTTAAATGTATGCACGTGTTCTCCAACATATTTCGATATGTTAGTTGGATAGTTGATCTATCACTATTGATTGATTGATTTGATTGATGAAATATTTAATAAATGCTGATCTTTACCAGCAATCGAATCTAATGTGTAATTCCTTTGTGAGATGAATTGTATACTTTGAGTCTAGGCCAATGATGATGTGTGTGAAAAAAAAAAAATGTTCACGATGAGTAAAAATATATATATATAAAAAAAAAAAGAATAATAAGTTGGACTGGTTGGATTCTCTGTAAATATTCACACAACCCAGTGAAATTGCGCAAAGATACCGAAAAGATACGATCCATTATATTTTGATTATTCGGCACTTTCTAGTTGATCTTCTTTATGCGGTTATGTTTTGTGCACAAGACCTACGGTGGGCTTTTTTAAATTTAAAGAAATTAGTTAATAATCAATTAATCAATGTGAATAATCAATGTGAATAAGGATAACAAATAATACCGGTGAATAATGATAACGATAACGATAACTGATACGTAACCGGTAATTAACGTTAATTGAATAAAAATATATTTACATTAGTGTTGACACACCCTGTTGGCATTGCTATTCGGCACGACTGTTTACGTTTTATGTTTTACATACGTACGTACGTACGTACGTATGTAGCAGGTAGAACCAAAAAATATGTATCAGAGATACGTATCGATGAATTTTTTTTAACGCAAAATATTGAGTACTGCCCGAAATTGTTGAATTAGTTATCAAAGTATATTGTTTTTAATTCGTTGAACATGATGAGATAAATAGGTTAGGATTACTGGTTATTACATGTATGGGTCGCGACATCATTGTTCATGATTGCTCCGCCTCTTTCCTTCTAAAGAAGAGATTCCTTCTTGCCACTTTCGTCACAGATAACTTACGTTCTCTGTATGAACCTAAAATTGTAATATATTAAAAAAATCGACAATAATATGATATATTAATACAAGCTCTAGGATTTGGCACTGTTTGTAACCCGATGATCTACTAATGGAAAAGAATACAGAAGAAGTTCGTTACTATTTCGTATTTTGGCTCGTGATGATTGCAGTTTTTATTATAAAAAAATTGATTACGCAAAAAACGTGCCTATTCATACTTCTTGAAACTACCCCTTAGTACTATTTTAATATATATACATTTTTTAATAATATATATTTGAATATATATTTGATTATCTTTTTTAAAATTATTTTTTTTTAAATTGTTTTTTTTAAATTGTTTTTTTTAAATTGTTTTTTTTAAATTATTGTTATTTTTTTTTTTTAATTTATCTCTTCTAATTTTTCTTTAAAAAAAAAAAAAAAAAAAAATTTTTTTTAAATTATTTAAAAATTTTTTTAAAAGAATTTTTTTTTTTTTTTTTTTTTCGAATTATTTTGAATTATTTATTTATTTTACTACTACAAACGGTTCGTTTACCTCGGTATCAATGGTTCTTTTTTTCTTGTCTAGAAGTGAACCAATTTCTCGGATTCTCTCGGATGCCGGAAAAATAGTAAAGTCGTAATGCTAACATTTATTTAAAATACATTAATTAATTTCTTTCAAGTATTTTTTCGGTAAAATAAAAAGAAAGGATTCAAATGTTTTTTAACGAATATATAATGTGTAACCGTTTCATTTTATAAATTATATAAATTATATAAATTATATATAATATAAATATATATATTATATAACCCGTCTTTTTTTTTTTTTTTTATGCTTTATTCCTTTTAGAATTATGTACGCCCTAAAATAAAAGAAATAAAGACTAAAATTTCTTTGACCCCGACTTTACAACGTTGTGATCGGCTTTTCAAATAATTCTAAACTCAACATGGGTAACTTACATAAATGAATACCTATATAAATTTCGTTGGTTTAATATCTACTTAAACAGTGAAATTGTGCAATTGTCACTTTTGCTGAAAAAAAAAAATAAAAAATTTCATGACGATATTTTCGGTGATACCGGTGATACCTCGGCTCATATTTTATACTAGTTTACTCTTGAAATGTTACAGGTTTATTTGTTATAAAAATAGGTTTTATATTATTTTATATTATTTTTATATTATCATTGATTGATAAATTATTATTCAATAAATAGCGGTTAATGTTAGTTATGTGAAACTGTGATTTTTTATCTAATAAAATATACTTGTATTGTATCTTATCATATTGTATTCTTTGTGTATGTTGTACTATGCATCATTCCACTCCTTTTTTGTGCTTAAAATTTCCCTTCAATTTTCTGCTTATAACTCCCCTCATCCAAACTTTTGTTCATCCTCCCCTTTTTCTTTTTTTTTCGCCACCGCTTTTCTCAGAATTTCAGAACAATTTTTTGTCTATTCTTCGTGTAGCAACCTTCGACTTGAGCGTCGGATCAAGCCAAAAAAGACAAATACTAAAAAGTAATACTTTCCACGCTGGAGAAAATAAAAGTTTTCCATTTCCTATTACTCAATACACCTTTCTCACCTTACGAAAAAAAGTTTCTTCTATTAAAAAAACGTCCTATAATATCTTCTATAATTAGCATCTCCGTTCCACTTATTTTTTACCTTTATTTACTGAGAGTTTCTTCTGACTTTACTTGGATTCCTGACCTAATAACGTTATTATCAACTATACCGCAGTGCCAGAGAATCTCTTCTTTCACCTCTTAATTATACACTTTACCTTTCGAAATCAGGTTTTTATTTATTTTTTTTTATTTATTTATTTTAAAATAATAATAATAAATAATTTTTTGTTTTTAAAGTTTATTTTTTTAAAAAAAAAAGTTTAATAAACTAATTATTACTTATTTTTTTTCTTTTTTTTTTTCTTTTCTTTACGATTGCTATTTTTTTTTTTAGTCCACCCTGCTTCCGTTAAATCGACATAAAAAGCATTGGCTATCATAAAGAGACAATTTTTTAATTTTTCATTTCAAAATAAAAAAAAAAAAAAATTCTTTTTAATTAAACAAGGACAATGGATAACACTGTAACATCTATATTCTCTGCTCCAGTGGTACAGAGCAGGCTCGAACACCACCACTTACAACAACAAAAACAATTATTAAAGTCACAGAAACCGGAAGCAAGGCATCAAAGATCAAAATCAATAAATAAAGGGAAACGTGGTTCTCCTCACAATCAATCAAAGGAGAGCTCTGTGCCTATGGTCTCTGTTTCGGCCAGTGATTGCTCTAATACTTCTCGTCATCATATTACAAAATCATCTAATTTTAATCGTGTTGATAATTTCGATTCTTTGCGTGGAGATTCTAAATTTCCTGATTCCTCTTTTACGAATAATTTTATTAATAATTATTCTGGTGCTATTGATGATTCTCATTTGTCGGCTTTTGGTTCCAATGATACCAATAGGCCTGTTCTACGAAGGTCAAGTGAAAAACGTCCATCAAGAAAATATCAACATAATGATTCAACCGGTGAAGATAATAAATTAAGAAATGGCCCTCAAGTCACGATCCTCAAGAGACCTCAATCTGCTACCGATTTTGTAAAATCATCTAATAACAATAATAATTCTACTTCTAATAAAATGTTCCTTGATATCACTCATGAGGAACAAGATTATCAACTTTCTTCTGCGGTTGGTGATTATTCTAAAGAACGCAGACGTTCTGATGCCTCCTCTTCTAAAACTAGATGTTCTCAAAGGCGTAAAGATGTAAAATCTATGACTGGGATTTTACAAGTTATTGAAACTTGCAATTATCAACAACAACGGGATTCCAATAAAGAATCTGATGTAAATAGTACTTTATTAAATCCTCCATGTTTAAAGACTTCTTTTTCGCCAAAAATCGACACTGTTTGTTTACCTGTACCTCCTCAGCAAACGAACAACGCCTTTTATTTTCCACCTCTCAACTATTCTAACGCGATTCTTGCTCTTGAAGAAGAAATGTGTAGTAAACATGATGATAATGAACCATCTACTTCTGATAATAACGCCCATACTAAAAGGTAAATATTACTTTTTTATATGCTATTAAAAACTATTATTTACATTAATTATAATAATAATTATTATTATTATTATTAATTATTAATATTAATAATAATACCTTTTTTTTTTTTTTTTCTTAGTAATTTTGATAGATCTGCGAACAAATGCTATAAAAGACGTTCTGATATTTATCTTTCTACCAATACTTCATTTATTCCGGAAAATGCTCCTCGTCGTCAATCCAGTACAGCTATTGAATTGCAAAGCCAGGTTGCTCCTTTTGCAAGTCAAGATGCTGCTAATTGTTCCATGTTATCAACTACTCCTCCGGCCTCTCGTAGGCCGTCTACTTCTCCGGATAGACTCATGGCATCAAAACTTTACGCTGGTCCTACCTTCCATAATTCCCCTGCTCCTAGTGATTTACCTTTACCATCTTTCCTTAGTAAACCTTCTAGCAAGGAATCTAGTCCTTTAATGACTTCCAATACTATCGCTCCCGCTTTAACCCCTTCCAGGGTTTCATCGCCGTCCTTATCTTCTGGTAATTCTTCTGACGACGATATGTTTATTATGGATGACGTCGAATCTGATGCCATCAAACACTCCGATCGTTTTTATAACGTGAGAAAACAAGAGTCTTCCGAACTTCTCCGCATCTTATCGGAACGCCAATATAATTCTCCTGCTGCATACATGGTCCCTGCACGTATGGCCACCTCTCATAATCCAGCTCAAGTTTATCCTACCAAAGATGGATTGTCGTTGACCGAAATTTCGGAAAGTTTGAGAACATTATTAAAGATTCATGGGCAATAAAAAGTGTAGACAGATAGATGGAGTCTTTTAGTAATTAATGTGTCTAGAGAGTGGAAAATATGTTCTTCTATTTCCCTATTTGGCGTCTCGAAAAAAAGTTAAAAAAAGTTTGGCGTCGATTCAAATATCAACAATTTAAAAAAAAAAAACAAAAAAAAATTTAATTGCATTTTTTTTCTAGACGTGTGGCACTCCCTTCTGTTATTATATTTTCTTATCAATTTTGCATTTCTCCTTTTCTGCACTGTACATTTTTTGTTGCATGTTTTCTTTTTTTTTTTTTTTCTTGTTATAATAATTCATTTTTTTTTCTTTGCTTTATTACTACAACCCTAATAATAACCCAGCATACTATTCCCCCAATTTTTATGATTTTCTTTTTTATTTGCATAGACATATTTCTTCTAATCTTTTTCCCTTATCGAACATTCATCGGGTTCTAAATTGTATTAAAAAAAAAAAAAGAAGCCCAGTATAAAGATGCCCTTATCCATTTTATCCCCATAAAAAGAAAAAGAAAGAGGTGCCATTCATTACCTACGTAAATACTTTATTCTTTTACATTTCTTTCCGTTAATTATTTGGACACTTACTTGTTAATGGATTAGGGTATCAAATTAGATAAGAGAACGTACATCATTTTTCTATAATGGGTTTATATAAATTGGAAAAGATTTTACTTGTAAATATGTTCTGCATTTACATCTCCCTATTTAATCTCATTGCTTAGATTTGCTTTTATACCTCTTTCGTTTGTACATTTTTGTATGAATTTACCCCTCTTTTTACCACTTTTTCTTGTTTTATTTTTTTTTTTTATTTTTTTGTTTCATTTCAAATAATGCATGACAACTTCCCAATTCCGTTATTTGGTTAGGAATTGTGGAAATTCTTGTTATGTTACTTCTCCTTTTTAATTAGTATTACTAGACCGGGGACTAATTAATATGTTGGGTTCTATATTTTCTTCCAAAAGTAATCTTATGACACTTTTTTTTGTAAAACAAAAAGCAAAACATTTGGTGACGGTTCTTTTTTATTTACACCATTTTTGATATGTTGGGGTGTAGTGTTTTTGGTATTTTCTCAGTAGTAGTAAAAAGTTTTGCAAGAAGGCATCAAAAAAAGTTTTGTTAAAACAATTTTGTTTGGGAGATTAATGAAATTAAGATTTTTAGTATCAATTTTGTATCAACGGAGGAATTCATTCTTTTTTATGCTTTAACTTTCGTACACAATGTTGCTTTTTTGGTGTACTGTATATTCGTTCTTTGATCCCTTTTAATTATCTACCTCGTCCCTACTCCTTTTTTTCAAGGGATTTTTTTTTAAAAAAAAAGAAAAAAAAAAAAAAATTTTGAATATTTATATGTAAACGGCAATTGAGCGAGCCAAGAAGAAAAAAAAAGAAAAAAAAAGCAAAAAAAAAAAAAAAAAAAGATCCTTATTTCTTGGTGTTCTTTGCCATTTTTGAGTAATTGTAGTGTAGGAACACAGTTTTATTTCAAGAGTTCGTTTTTTTTTCATAAATAAAAAATGGAGTGAAGAAGTTCTTAATGATTATGTTTCATGTAGGTTTGAGGGTTGGTTGTTACATTTTCTAAAAATGTGCCCTTTCTTTGAACACACGTGTAAATATAGATCAAAAATTTCACGCATAAGTTTAATCGAAAATAATTGATTCTATTATTTTCAAGATTTAGAAAAAAAAAATAAATAAATAAGATAAATTAAAAATATATAATATCCAAATTCAAATTTGGATTTTTTTGCCCTAAAAGAGTATAGTTTTTTATCCTAATGTTTTTATCAAATTGCTTTCGACATTCTTGATATTATGTAGTTCTTGATACATCATGACTGCTAATCAAAATATAAAAAAACGTTAGATTCATATTAACTACGTACCGTACTAATTTAATGAAAATGATTACATTCATACGAGATTCAGATCTCCATAAATGCACATACGTATAAATGCACGTCGATGTAAATTTCTACGTAGCATATACGTACTGTACGTACTGTACGTGCATAATACGTAGAGGGATGCAATTAGGGAGATCTGACCGTATTTTAATAATATAACTAATTTTTTTAATATATATACCCTATATATATATTTATTTTATTGTCATGTGAAATTATGATTGAATATTAATTATACCTATACAGTATAATGAATACTAATTTTTTAACAAAAAAAAATAAAGGTACAAAATATATCTATATATTTCATAAATAATGATAATGGATCAAAATTTTTAATGATAACTTTGTACAATTTATTTTCAAAAAGTTTTTAAGAACCAACATAACACATGTTTAAAGTATGAATATCTTTAGCTAACAATGACCAACTAATCCCCATTTTCCCATTTAATTTTTGCTCATATTGCAAAAGTTCATACATGAACCTTAAATTAGGTTGAATTATTACATTGAGACGTCTAGCACGAACAAAAAGGTAAGAAGACACGAGAGAATAGCCCAGATGTCGCATGATATATGCAATCGTAATGGTAGCGGAACGAGAAACTCCCACACGACAATGGATAAGAATTTTACCATTTAAAATGCGAGCCCTTTCTGTAATTGCAATTATTTAAAATTAGTTATTAATGCAATTATTTAAAATTATTAAAATTAGCTATTAATATAATATTTTAAAGAGTTTTGTATTAATCGGTAGTGCATTTTTTGAATTCCCGATACATACCAATAAAATTAACGCACGAATCTAAATGATTCCAAAGACTATCTATTCCATCATCAAACAAATTATTCAAGTATTGTACCTCAAAATCTTTATTATCTAATCTAGAATCTTCTCCAACGGATAAAACATGAGTTATTCCAAGAGATTTTAACATACTTGCGTTACAAGCATGATTTAGATTGCCCAAATATAAAAATGGCAAAATTCTGCTCGGGAAACTCCCTTCAAAGCATGGAGTAGAATAGAACCATGGAAATTCCTCTTGTCTCTTCGTTTCATCATCATTAATCCCCTTTCTTTCAAATATACACTTTTCAATTTTCAATAATGTATCCACATCATGTGGATACACAAAAAAACTACGAGTCTTTTGAAGTTTTAAATATGCCTGTGGAAGATTTAAATTTTCATGAAACATGAGATATGTGAGTGCAAAAAGTGAAGTTTCCGTGTAGCCATCTGTGCAATGAACCAAAATTTTATGATCATAATTGTTTGCTTGATCCGAGATGAATTCGCAAAGATCTAATAATCTTGTAACTGCAAAGTCAAAGACATCTGGTGTATTAAATCCAAGTCCAGTAGATATGCAATCAAGATGAACAATATCATCAACAGATATCCTTGATTGAGGTATTTGTGCCAATTGCTCAGTAATGAAGCAAAGTGTGTCTTTATCTGGTATTTCGGCGATATCATGTGATTCTATGCAGACGCAGAATTGATGCGGGTTATCATCAATCAATGAAATAGCAGAATCAGCAGGATCTAACGGGTCTAATCCATTAGAAACGGGAACATCTTGTGTATTACCCAACTACATAAAGTTAGTCAATAAATATTTTTAGAATTAAATGATTATAGAAACTTTTTTTATTAATCTAAACATAATAACGATAATGAAAAAAAATAGTTTATTTACCCAAACATTTGTTGAAATCTCTGAAGCTGAGGTAAGTGTTCGCATTTCCTCTCTTTCTCGTTCTGAAAAATCGATTTTGTTACGTATAATACCTTGACTATCGATAGCTACAAGTTCTGGATATTCTTCTTCAAATAAGGAAAATGGCTCTATATAACAATTATTTCAATTATTAATGATGTCATATCATTTCTTAATCCATTAAAAATTATATGATGAATAATATGAAACTAATCACTAAAAATAATTAACCATACCAACTATCACGAATACTTCATATTCCAATATATTTGGGTTTTCTTCTCTAAAATTCTGCTGTGCCCATGCCATTCGTTTAGCAATATTTAATACATTTTCATTCAAACCATTCTCTCCGTATACAATAATGTCTGAAATTGTAGCATATTTTGCTACTTGGATCTTAAAATTCCTTAAATTAATTCCTTCGCTATCCGTTATTTTTAAAAATCCTCTTGCTGAACAATCGTCCTCAGGATCGTCTGGATCCCCGTAATCTAATATATCAGTTGGCAGAACAGAACCTACAAGCTGGGATCTTGACATTTCTTCTGCTTGCACTACTGTGACTCCACGATGTATTGGTACTGGACACTCCTCCTGAATTCTAAGGCCAAAGAAACTATTCTGTATAGGATTTGTACCATCAATGCCATGCAACCACGGAAATAAATCATTAGGCAATGGGGTAGAATAATATGTTTCATGAATAAGATAATATTGTGAAGCTGTTAATGCTCTGATAGGTGGGTCTTCGTTAACTAATGGGAACGCATCAAACTCTATTGGAGAAGGTGATCGTATGGTGGCTGGCGAAGAAGAAGGTGGTGACAACGGGGACAAGGGTGGAGTGAGCCGAGAAGGCTGTTGCTGTTCAACAGCGGCAGCCATGATTAACTTTTATCAAAAAAAAAAAGTAAAATGCTTTATTTCAAATGATCTTAAAAATAAATAATTATAATTGTAATGTTCGATATAGCTTTTATTTTGTCGGTTTTTTTTTTTGTCAACGTTTCTTATTTTACTAATAATTACAAGGCAATCATACAGTAAGTCAAGTAGGATGATAAAATAGGTGTTTTTTGTTTTAGGTGCAATACCGATACTATTTTCGGTCGTAACCAAATTTCATGAAAATTTACTTTTTCGTTCGCAAGCTTTTGCACAATCACAACAATCTGATCATCTGTTTGACCAACACCCACTCGTGTTTCCCATTTCGGGTATAGCTTGATTTAAGATGTCTTATAATATATTTATTGTAATTTATTGTTATCAGTTTCACAAATACTCTATAAACGTAGGCATTTATTTATGCACCACCGTTACACGAAATTTTAT